ACAAAATATATTTGAAATAGTAGAACAAATATGTGCCATATATTCTTTAGATTGGAAGCAATACTTGGTTGGACAATCCTTCGATGGTGCAAGTAATATGCGTGGTGCATATAATGGACTTCAGGCCATAATTAAACGTTCTAATCCGGCTGCAGTTTTTGTGTGGTGCTATGCACATCGGCTGAATTTGGTTGTTATTGATGCGGTAAGCTGTTCACCCAATGCAGTTGATATGTTCGGGATTTTAGAATCTATTTATGATTTTATATGCTCAAGTAAGAAACGAATGGCCTTATTTGATGAATTTCAAGAAAAAATTTATGGAAGTACACAACGTAAACGACGCTTCAAGAGAGTAGAAACTACTCGTTGGTGGTCCCATGATCATGCGCTCAATACTGTATTAGACACGTTTGATGCTTTATGTCAGGGATGGGCAACTCAAAGTAACTAGCGGGCCACTTTTAAATACTTTAAAATCTAGCGTGCCGCAGTGCATAGGAGAAAGCAAAAAAAAATTAAAATTTTATTTTTTATCTTTATTTATTTATATTTACAATTATTATTTAATGTGATACTTGAGGATGAGGTTTTTCAATAGACAATTTAGTAAAATCCACTTCTATTTCTGTAGTTGAAACTCTTAGTAAATGTCTTAGTAATAAAGTTTATGTGATACCTTACAAAATATCCAGAATAATGAATGTTCAAGTGATCGCAAAAGTGCTCATCAGGCTCGGTGTTTTAAAGAAAATATCTTGTGTGATAAATTTTTAACCACAGCCACCACATACAAAAAAATGTTTCAAATTATCACTCCTCTCAGTAAAATGCTGCAGGCCAAAGACATAGATCTTATCGGTGTTATTGATTTAGTTAAAGACAAAATACAACACTTAGAAACATGTAGAAGTGACATAGAATTTTCCACTGTCCTTAACGAAGTCGAAGAGTTCAAAAAGTGTTCAATTAACGAATGTGAAGATTTTAAGCCGATTCCACAAAATCGAATAAGACGGGTACCACGTAAAGCTGACGAAATAGCTGTAGACGAAGTTATTGAAGATCCATTGCAAAATTATAAAATTAAAACATATTTTATAGCATTTGTTACAGCTATTACTCAGATAAAAGAAAGGTTCAATGAAATATCCAGTGGTTTATTTAAGGATCTGTCATTATTTTCTCGACGTCGCATGGAAGAAATATCTAATGATCTCAATAAATTGCCAGTTGATGCATTTAAAGTATTTTTTGATACATATAGTAAATTTGTTGATAAGGAAGATTTAAAAAGAGAATATGTACAATTCATAAAATGTTATTTTAATTTTGAAAAAGTTAAACTAATTCCAACCAGTCTTCATGATTCTCAATCAGACACCGAAGATGAATATATTGACCATTTACAAAGCGACTTGGAAGGTTCTCAGAACACTCAAGAACCAGTAGAAGATTTTTCTATCCCCAAGCTTCCTTTAAATGGATGCAGTTTATCAACAGTATTGAAGGTTGTTAAAATAAGTGGCTTACAGTCTGTATTTCCTGTCCTAAGCATAGCTTTGAAAATTGCTGTAACATTACCGGTTGCTAGTACTACACCAGAAAGAACTTTTTCCAAATTAACAATAATCAAAAATAAACTGCGCAGTACCATGACTGAAGGTCGCCTTGAAAATTTAATGGTACTTTCATGTGAAAATGACATTAAAATTGACTCAGACACTGTTATTAATACATTTGCCAATAACAGCAGCTTGTTGCAAAAAGCTTTATTATATTAATTTGTTATACAACAGTATGTAACCTAGTCCCAGTGTGCATAAATTGTATTTATAGGAAACATTTGTATTATATATGTATTAAACTATTCAATTTTATATTTATTATTACTTCTTAATATTATAGTGATATTTATGAACAAGGTTATACAATAATACCTAAGGGGGTGTGGGGGCGAAGCCCCCGCGGGTCTGTTTTTGAAAGTGACTTGGTGGGTGGGTGGTATTTTTCCATTCAATATGCTACCCATGTTTATTTTTGAGTGTGCGCCACTGCACTTGACCACCTATCGAGAAAATCCGCTCTTACAAGCGATGACACAGCCAGGATTAACTTCCAACGACCCTATATTGTAGATAGTATAAAAAAAGTACAGGATTTAAGAGGACGTCATACCCGCGGTTTTGCCTCCGCCTATCAAGTGTGTAACATAGCAAACTGTTCTCTCAGTAGATCACGTTAAACTCCGTTCGTTTAAAAATTAGAGTGGATTGATCTGTTATGAAATTTGAAGAATGAAAATTGAAAATTTGCAAAAAGAATAGTAATGAAATATGTAATAAAGAACTATATTAATGTGCGATGAGTTTAAAGTTATAAAAATATATGTATGGAGACATTAAGGGCGGGGCAAAGACTCCAACGAGCTTGCAATGAATATTTATTTTAACATTCCACCCTCCCACCACAGTAAAAAATTCTGGTAAATATAATATAATAGATCCTGGTTACCCTTATCCTTGCATGCCTCATTTGCAGTAATATATTTATAGGAATAAGTTGCTGCTTTGTAAATCGTCTTGAAATAAAATATTTTATTTTTTTATAAAATAATTGTATGTTAATAAATTCATAATTTATAGTATACTATTTAATTTATTATTATGTAATGTACAAAAATATCTAATTTGTACATTCAAGTATATCCCTAATTTGAATATAGTATTATACAATATTTTTATTTAACTAGGTACAAAAACCATTTCCAAAATTAAAAAAATTTTTGAAAATTGGTGGCCATCCGAAGCAGTTTAAAGGTAACAAATCATTAACATGTACATGTATTGGATTTGGTATGACAACAGAGGATCCATTTACAATGGGAGTTGAGGGATATTTGATGGACACTACAGTGACATATGGTCGAAGAGCTTGTCGAGACTATGACACGTAATAAACACACACGATTTAGTTATTATTTACTATTTATAAATGTTTTAGTGAAATGATAAATAATACTTGGAGAGAATATCTGTGTTCAAGACCTGGCCGGATTACAATGGTGTGTCAGGGAGACAGCGGTGGTCCAATGATTTGCAAAAACAAGCTTTATGGAGTATGCAGTTTTTTCTTTAATTACAGCAACAATAGTACCGATAGGAAGAATACTTGTGGTGGACCTAACATGCAGCCGGTGCATACATTCTTACACTATCATTTAAAATGGATAAATAATATAATAGATCCGGGTGCGAATTCCGGGCTTTTGCTTAAACAGCACCAATTGCATACAATTGTAGCAATATCACTGTGTATTTTACTAATATTTTAAAATAACTAAATTTATAAAACATATTTTTATCAAACAAAATGATGTTGGATTAATTATTTGTATTTTTACGATCCAGTAGTAATATTGCTATGCCGTAATTATAAATTAAAAACAAATTAGGTACTTAAATTTTTTTTATTATGCTTACCTACAAAAGAAAATAAATACATTAGTGTGGTATCTGAGAATTTTTTTTGTGAATATATAATAATTCTCTTGTGGCTTGGAGTGGCGCGTTGGCTGCTACCAGTCGCGGAATGCGACTCGGAGTAAGTAACGGCCACAGCTACTAGCTCCCGGATGGGTGACCACCCGGGTTCATAGTAGTTAAAAACCTTGCCACACATACACGTATTTGCTACCTACCGTAACAACCCTAACAATCGTAAAAACAACCTACATGACCAACCTTACCCCTACCACAGTTCATAACCCCTACAACAGCTAATGGCCTTAGTCGCCGCGCTTAGGTTCAATAAAACCAAAAAAAAATAATTCTCAACTATTGAATTAATAATGATATAGAATATATTTTACATACCGAGTGTATATAGAAACAATTATAAAATATATGGCAGGACCGTTTACATATAATAATATTATGTTCCCTAAGTTACTGATCTCAGAACTATGTATAGGTATACTGAATACTTATATAATAATAATTCACACAGAATAACAAAAATATTACAATAATAATCATTTTTTGACATTATAACAATGATTATAATAACGCTAACGATAATCGACATAAATTTATTGTTAGTGACTTCATAGGGAACTCTACCACCCAGAAAACCACCACCTGTACAAATCGACCAATATTGATATATGTATACCTAATACATTATTTCGTAACTCGTAATCTTAACGTACATAAATATGATATCGCACACATCCGATTATCATGGACAGATCATGCGGAATAGAATAGCATTCATTACATACTAAGTATGAAATATGAATACTGTGTCAGTCCAATCAATTAATAACCTTCGACTAGCATATAATGAAAATGAAACAGGCCAGTAGCTAAAAATGTGTTTTGGATTACCGTTTTTACCAGTGCATGAAGTCAGTGAGACATTCATTGATTTAATGTCCATATGCATACCACAATAGATGTATGTTCTGAATTTTAAGACTACATTTTTGACAACTAAAATTGATTTTTGGGACAGTTCTCAATGAAAATTTGTACCCATCCAATAAATGAAAAAATGACTACAAGGAGCTGAAAGATTTCAGTAAGGATTTAATTCTGAATTGTACACTCCGAATCCATCTGTATTTATGGTTATTGATGTGTTACGAAATAAAATTAAAATTTGTAAAGTGTGTAAAAGTATATTAAGTATATTAAAAAACAATATTTAGAATAAGACCTTTCACTTGCTACAAATCTGCAATTTATCGTGTCTATATTGAACTGTTGAACGATTTAATGAAAAAATAATTGATGTCATTTCTCAAGCTGTCACTCTGAGACAATTTACTGATGACGTTTTGGCAAATCCTTAATTTTAGACAAACAATGAAATTTTAAAAACATGTATATTATTTTTCATTCTATACATTTCAAAACTGTATTTTTTTGTCCTTGAGGAGACTTATACCCTCTCTCCAATCTGTACGCCATTGGTGCTAGATAGTTTTTAAAATACCATACTCCCCGAGAAAGCTAACTAATAACTTATACTAACCTATGTATTAAAATTAGTTAACCACAGACATTACTTATATGGCTATATCTACTAATCAGAGCCGTGCCGTCGTAATTTGGCCGTGGGAGGGAAATTAAAAATATTCACCCCTCCTGTATTAATTTATTATTTAATCTTTTTCATTTTTTTTATTTTTTGGTATTATTGTATTGATATTTTACTATACATTTTTAAACATATTTGTAAAAATACTATAGTAACTGAGATATTAGTAAATGGTGCAATACTTTAATTATATAATATTAAAAAAAAATTAAAAATAATACCAACATCACTATTTGTATGGTCATTACTCATTATAGTAATTACGTTAATTAAGTATTTATTAACAAAAATATGATTTAAATTTTAACCTTATTCCTTGACTTGATTAAAGCAAAATCTTCTAAAACGTCTTCAAAATCAATATTTTTTGTTATTTTATTTTCAATTGATAGTATTGCCGAGTTAGTTAATCTTTCTTTGTACATGGTTGATCGTAAGTATGTTTTTTTAATTGACTTTAATCTACTAAAAGAACGTTCTCAGGATGCGACAACAATTATTTCTGGGCCTATATTATCTTCAACGTTTTTTATTGCTAAGTCATCTGCACATTTCTTCAATATTTCAACTGGTGTAAAAGAAAGTGAATGGCCAGGAGGAATTCAAAATCATCAGAAATAACAAATATTTTTTCAAAACGCCATTTCGTTTCAGCCATCATATTATCAAGAACTTTGTGGTATTCCATTGTTAATAATTGATCTGCAGAGAAATCTTCACATTATGAGGTTTCTCCACATATTTTTTTTTATGCATACCTATAGTTCTAACCTTAATAAGTATTTTACATTTACAAGATATACAGCATTACAACTCACATACGAATATACGAATATTGAATTCGGTTAACAACATAATAATACGGACGCCGCTAACATATTGTCTATTGAAAATGTTCAGCTGTAGCCTATAAGTATTGCTTATCGTGATTACCGAGTGTTGAATTAACTATTTAGTCAAATAATACTTTAATTTATTAATAACTACATGCTATACTAATAATGAAATAATTGCGATTACGATTATTGTACTTACAAATGTTTGAAATAAAAACCATGTTTTGTCAGAGATTATTTGTTGAGATATTGCTGTATAGAATTATTAAATCATTCCGATTTGCAATGAAGTTATTGGCTCACCCTTAAAATTTGCGACCGGAGAACAGGTTAGGTTGGCCCTTGCCCTCTCTCTTCTACGATACTGCTCTGTTACTAATTGAATTGTATAGTACATAAATAGCTATATTTAAATAAGGTCTGTAGTAATTGTTTTAAAGTGATCGCAAACATAATTAATATAAAACTTTGATTTTTTTGATTTTTTTAATATTAACTAGTGATAGCCGATAGGTTAGGTTGTGGTACTCCTGTTTAGATATATAGTACGATAATATGATGATATAATGCTTAATGAAAAACAAAATTTAAAAATTCATATAAATAAAATGCTAAGCAACCGTTAAAAATATAGGTCCCTATATATTTTTAATTTTTACATAATTGATATTTATTAATTATAACTGATGAAAGTATATTTAACTATTTAAATTTAATATAGCCTAGGGCTTGAAGTCAGTATTCCTTTTTATTTTAACAAGAAAAGACATAATGGTAAGATATTTATTTGTTTGGTATTTGTATATGACAGGACAAACACTAAGTTAAATCTAACGGTCAAGCGTATAAAGTAGAAATATAAAATAAAACACTTTATAACTGTACAAATACTCTCAAGCATGTCATATTTTAAATAGTAATATAAGTCTTATATAATATTAATTATTTCAACAAAATGAATTATTAAATATTTTTACATGATGACATTTAATTTTAATAGGGTTCTTTTCGTAGATGGTGCAATGCATTACACATTTTGAGGAAATTAAAAATTTCCAACACTTTTGCACACAAAAAATAAACAATTTTTAAATGTTTTGTTACAAATATGACTATGGTCTATGGTCTACGGTGGATCTAGTTTTTGATACGAGTTATACAATGTCAAATGTCCCGATACTTGCAGTGAGCACTAATAAATATTGACTCTAGTAATCTATTTATATCAGATTTCGTAATTTTGTAACTACTTACAAAGTGGAGGTAACATTAGTTGTATTTGTTTTTAATCAGTGTTACTAAAACAATCAATATGTATACCATTTATGTATGTAATTCGCATTAGCTGTATAGATATATTCTTTGTGTTTAGTTATAAAATGTTTAATCCCATGGAAACTTACTTAGGTCAAAGTTAGTCACTTACCACTTTCTATTCAAGGCACTTCGGAGACGATTTTGCCATTTTTTCATTTTATAACAAATGTTAAAGAAATCCTTGTTTATATACTATAGTCTATAAGTAAAGTTAATTTGAAACTAGTGCAAACATTTTTTTCAAATCCATTTTTTTCTACATTTTCTTCTATCACTGAAAATTCCACCAAAAGAAAATGTATTAGCATATTAATGAATACATATTACATATATAGTAATATTTATAATAATTATTCTTCATTTATAGTAATATTGTCTTAAGTATTTAGTATATTTGTTTATACATGTATTAATTTGTCGTTACTTGGTTTAAGACCTCGGTGAGTTTAATGTTATAATATATTTCAAATATACCTTTTGGCTAATTGGATGTATTATATTATTGTGTTAAGGATATTAGTGATGACGAAAGCGATGAAAACATAGAAGATATTAATGGAATGAAAATATATTTAAATAATTTAATGAAAAAAGTTAACGAGACGACATTGATTGATATTCGACAAAGCTTTTTGAAATATGTTAATGGAAATGTAAAAGAAAACCAATTATATGATATTCTGAAACCATACAATATAATTTTGTCAAAAAAAAAATTCCACCCAATGTTCTCTAAGATAGATGTAAAAAAAAAAGGCACCGTCAACTTTTTACAATTCGTTACTTATTTAGCATCAGAATTTGAAATAAAGCGTAAATATAATACATTTTTATCAAACGACGACAGCGAACTATCAAAATTAACGCCCAAATTACTACCGAACAAATTGATTGAATACGGAGAAAACGGCATGATTCGGTACATAGATATAGTGTTTTTACCGAACAAAATAAAACAATCTCAAAAAGAACCCGACGATCCTGAATACATAGCTGCTAGTCGGTCAGGGAAAATTGTTCGCTACAAACCAGACATGCAATGGAAAAGTACATACCAAGTTGTTTCGGTAATGTATATTCAGCAGAACCTTTAAGTATATATGTAAATTAGGTATTTATAGTTAGTATAAGTGTAAATTATTAAGAACCGAGAAAAATTCACAGGGAACATAAAGATTCATTGGTCATTTTCCTCAATTTTCAATGGACAATGCCTAATTTACATTGCCAGGAATTACGTTAGGTTAGGTTACAATGCAAAAGCATGCCTGCTATTAGTTTTAATTATAACTAGAGCTAGGATTTCTATACATGTGCATCTTATTTTCCTTGGGTCCAAATTGATTGGTTAAATAGAACAACTTTTTTGCATATTTTCCCGTATTTTGAACATAATTTTTGCAAAATTTGATTTTTGAAAATTTTATGAATTTTTAAATGGTGTTTATCTAATGGATATTTATTGGGTTATTTATCGAACTGTTGTACATTTACTATCTAACCTTATCTTTGTGAGACGAACGATAAGATAACCTATCCAGAATTTTTGTTTTTCATAAGTACGACAAGTTTTAGTCACTATCAATCCATTCATCGTTCTAATCACCGGTCATTCAGGTTGTACAATTTGAAAGAACATATTATTACAGCAATATGCAATGTAATAAATAATAATTCTATATAAATAATAAATAGTTATTCATTAGTAGGCATTTATTTCTAATTCGGGATTCGTGATACTTATATATAGTCATATGCACAGATTTCAGGTTACGTGCCGTACTCATATGCGTATGCCAGCACGCTCAGTCGCGTATTTCAGCATAGGAAAACAAGGTAACTCGCTAGGGCCCTGACCTTGAGTAAGCTCTCGGCTAGTAATCTTCAATTTTCTAATAGATACACGCATAAAAAAAATAATTTTAAAAAACTTAACTAATTTAATGTTACAGATTTGTCAAAATAATTAAAATCTTATGATCTTGGGGAAAAAATAATATAAGTTATTTAGTTATGACCTTTATATAGTCACCGATTAAAATAAAAATTTAAGACTAACAGTCTATGGTGACACAACGTACTTACACTAAACGATTTTAGTTTAAGTTTGCAGACAATAATATCCGGATAGTTTATTTTTGATATATTATTATAATATTAGAAACTACGTATTTTAACGTCGATAGCACATCCACACAGGTTACCGCAATACAACCATAAGAGCGTGGGACGATGGTATTTCCTGGACCTTGGATATGCACTCACATAATAGAAATAGGGCAAACACTATACCATCGATAGGGTAGGAGAAGTAGAGAGTAGGCCTATATAGTTGAGACTCGGGTAAACGATATTCAGGCTTGAACTGTCAGTGTGGGTACAAGCACCTTCACACCAGCAGACTCTGAAATTATTTACACCAAAATTATTCAAACAGTTTGCAAATTCCATAAACCAATTTATGTATGTACAAAAACTAACATATAGTCGTTGAATTATTTATGCTCCATCATCGTCTTACACATAATCATCTATACGTGGGGTCGCTAGTCACTACACATGCATTAATAATTTTACATTTATATACTATATTATAAAGAGACTCGATCATTATAGCTATCTTAGCTTATAACGTATACAAAAATAAAACAACTATACCAATTTGAGATATATTGAATTATTTGTCAAATTAATTTTTAATTTAAAACGAGTTGAAATACACATTTTGCTCGAAATTCATTGCATTACCCCCGGGCTTACAGTCAGTGTTTTCGTCATGAATCTAAAAATATCGTTTTCTGTAACCGCAATTCACACGACAAACATTATATTATAATACAACAGAATGTATCACCGATCGTGGTCAACGGTTTAGTGGGGATGCCGGAGTTCAGTGTCGTTTGCTTGTCGGTCGTGGGCGGCCAACTGCTGTTCTACGACATGTCGTCAGGCCAATTCAAGCTGTGCCTCATCGTCGAATTGTGGGCATGCACGTTGACCACTCACCTCGCGTACGCGCACACTTACTGCGAACGCAAGAAGATCGGTTCGTCGAAGATAGCGGTCGGCGACGGACACGGTGGCGTGAGCGTACTCGAGTTCATATCGTCGGAGAAGTGGAACCCGTTCAAGGACAAGTCAGGCGACACGAACGAGACGCCAACGTACAATTTCGAACGACTCGTGATGAGGACGCCACCGGCGCCGCCGACCACAAAACCGTCCACTAAGCGTCCACCACCGATTCGCGCGTACAGTTATCAGGGGCTGCACACCAAGCAAGTCGAGCAAGTCGTGTTCTACAACAACGGCCGATCGTTTGCGGCTGTGTCGATGTCAAATCGCAAGTCGATGGCCCAATGTCTCATGCTGCCGGAGCAATGCGAAACTCGTGGTTCGTCACGGTCACCGTCGACCGCTACGCTCACCTTTCCGTTCATCCGTTACACGTCAAACGTGATGGGATTCTCTTGCGTGTGTGCGATCCGTGACACGCACTTGGCTACTGGCAGCATGGACCGGACAGTGAGGCTGTGGGACACCACGGGTCGCGTTTCGGGCCCCGTGGACTGCACCGCGCTGTTTGGCCACAGCTGGGGCGTTAAACGCGTTTCTTACAACACGGCCAACGGACACCTGTACTCCGTGTCCACGGACTGTGTGATCAAGGTGTGGGACCTGCGCAGAACCACGTGCCTGTTGACGTTTACCGGGCTTACAGTGGCTGCGGAACCGAATAACAGTCAACATTGGCCGTTCGCCTTGATGCACTTCAACTGGTTCGATCAGACTATCATAAGCGTGGGCAGAGATTACATGTCGTTCATGACCGTCGAGTGTACCAGGCCTATGGTGACCGACCAGGAGGTGTCTCGCCCGCATGACGATAAGTCCCATGACACAGCCGTCGTCAGGACGCTATACAACCCGCTGTACCAGGTTTTGATATCCGTATCCGCCACCGACTCATCCATCTCTGTATGGAACTTACGCACCGGTGACGTGATCATCAAATGGTCTATGGCGCACACCGAAGAGGTGTACTGCGAGATTCTGCCGGTCGAAATTACCGCCGCTAACTTCGACCCATCAGGAGGGTTGCTCGTCACCGGTGCTGTGAATGGTAGCGTTCACATGTGGGATCCAAACAACGGAGTATGTTTGAACCGACTGCGGATCCCTTCCGGTGGCCGGATATCTGAAGTATTCTGGTTGCCTGATAAGGTGTATATTATATATCGTAGTAAAATGAATGTTATAAGGCCTAGTTTTATGAATTAAATTTATTTTCATGATCGTTATTTGTTATATTGGTGAATAGTTAAATAATGTAATATTTTTGAAATGACCACTGTTTCTTTCAATCATTTCCAAAACTTATGTTTAAACATAACTAGTAAATATATTTGTTCCACGCTACCACCAAATATATTTCAAAACAAAATACAGTGTTGACAGAGTAAATTATGCGCTTATGCTACAAATAACAGCGTGGAAATAATATTGTAATTAGCAGCGAGTATATGACATAATTTTGTTCTCACTTTGTGGTCACAGATACTAGTGACCGGTTCAGATCGGCGAGTAACCGAATTCAACGACCCACTGTTATTGTCCAAAGGAAAAGTTTGGCTGTCCAGCCATGAAGAGCCGGTGTTGAGCGCGTGCGTCAAGCTACCGTCGCTGTTTGTTACCACATCACAGGCGGGCGTGATGGGTTTCTGGCGGCTAGAGACGGGACAGTTGATTAAAAAGTACAAGGCCCGAATGAGACCAGACACCCGTAAGTCCAAAAACTCATCATCAGGGAGCAAGAGCCAGGCAACTTCTACGGTGGTGAGCAAGAGCCAGATAAGTTCCATATCGTACGTTGGCAGCCGAATTGGGGAAAATGGTGGCCTGGAAACCAGAGAAGAGAAGCTCAAGAGATTAGATATTAAATACACGCCCCGTGAGCATTACGCGGCGGTTGCCACACACTTCCTGCGAGCCCGGCCAGAAGACTCAAACGTCGGAACCCTACTCGTGGCCACACGTAATGGAGTGGTGCAGATATGGTGCACGTACAAAGTGCCCAAGTATGTTAGCCAATTTGTGGCTATTCACATCGCTGATGATTACGTCACTTCTATGGTGTCTGACCGTAAGAGCGAATACTTGATTACAAGCTTCGAAAGCGGCTACATCAAAACGTGGTTGGTGGTCAACTTTGGACAGCCGAGACACACGATCTACAACGTGGACATGCCATCTCTTAGGCTGCGTTTTCCGTACCTAATAAATATGTTCTTCATGGGTCGAGCAGAACGTGCTGACGCAAAGAACACGAATGGTCCACTGTTGGTCAGTGCGTATAGAGCACACTTGCAGCGTATCAGTCACATTGAATACATCGAAAAACTGGAGCTCATAGTCAGTAGCAGCGTGGACAAGATGATTCGTATCTGGACGTTGGCTGGTCATTACGTAGGAACTTTGGGTAAATGCATCGTGGTCAATTTCACGATATGATTAGTACTATAACGTGGCTAGGGAAGAGCCCAGTTAAATATTAGATAGCTGGAGAAGTTAGACCTTATAAATATACATACAAATGTGGTGGGTGTGGCTAGAAGTAGGATCTTATATTTATTTAAATAACAAAATCTCAGTCTCAGTTAACAATACGTTTTATTCCCTACTAACGATTTACAAACAATATTAGGTAGGTACTTATTCACAAAGTATAATGGATAAGTTTTATATTGTTATAAAATATAAATAGTTAACAACTTATCTAAATACTTAGATATGGCATTATGTATAGAAAATAATAATTTGAGTAATAGTTGAATGTCTTAAGTCTTCTAAATGTTTGTATTTCGAATTACAAGGTTAGGTGAATAAATATTTTGTGTAAAAAATTCCAATACCATAAAAATTTGAATATAAATAGCTCATACAATATGTAATACCTATGGCTTCAAGCTAAACTATTTTATCATTTAAACAGTCTGTAGAAGCGTATTTTTTAGATTCTGACCGAAGAGGAAGAATTTTGTATTGATTTTACAATAATGTAAGTTTTCCTATCTGTCATCACTCTTTGAGGCCTTAAAAAACTCTATTTACTACTTCAGAATTTTTCCTGGAAGAAAGTGAATCTAATTGGTTCTTTGGGGTGTAAAAAATAAGAATACCCAGCATAGATATAAATTAATATAATGTTTCTCGTGAGTTTTTTAAAACATTTGAGACTTGTACACAAGATTTTTTAGATTCAGAGCGAAGGGATGAATATATTGATTTTAGAATGATGTTTTTTTGTGTGTCTGCAATCACCTTTTAGGACACTAAAAATGCTTCCAAAAAAATGTTCTTCAACAGCATCTTCTCCGATAGAAAAGTGAATCTAGTTGTACCAACTATGTAATCAATGTACCATTTAGGTGTAATTCCTACGAGTTTTCAAAAGCGCCGGGAATATCAGTTTAAAAATATTAAAAATATATAGGCATGATGTATTTATAATTATTTAAAGTTCAAATTTTGATGAAATTTTTTAAATTGAAAATGTATTTATTGTTTTGCAGTTAAAAATGTATAAAATGTTCAATTTTTATAGCCAAGGATTGAAAAATTAAAACAAGTGCTCGCCTAAGTAGAAAATTCTTTAATCAAAAAATGTATAATAACACAGTTTTATTTTATAGCTATTTTAAGTTCAAATGTGGATGAAATTACACATTAAAACCAAAAATAAAGATTCTAGTTATTTAATTGTAATTTAAAAATATTATTCGTGGGTACTTGGACCTTTTAGAGCAGCCCTATGAGCAATAAAATATTTAAAAAATGTTTTTAAAAATATAAAAAAAAGAATAAAAAAGTTTTTAAAACATAATATGCAGCAATGTTTTGATCGCCGCTTTTTCATTAAAAAAAATATTAAATTAACATTTTTAAAATTTATTAAAATTATTTTTTGATAGTCTTTAAAATCTATTTAAATTATTTTTTTGTTGTTTTTAAATAAACAAAAAAGATTTTTTATTTATTTTGTAAAAGTTTCTTAGATGTTTTTTTAAACATATGCATAATATGTTAAAAATGCAGAGTTTTTAGCTAAAAAAAACATTTAAAATAATTGTTATAGGTTATTTTTTCATATACACACATAGGCAATTATAGAATTGCAAGAATTTGTTTATTAAAAAAAAAAATATATATTTTAATGTATTATTATTTATAATATAATTCAATATCATAAAAAACAAAAAAAAAATTAATTTTAAATAAAATAACAAAGAACCTTGATGGTTAGGCATAATAATATGTAAAAAATTAATACAAAATAAAATAATAATATATATACCTAATAAGATGTGTATAGTGTGTATAGATTATAGCCATAGTTTAATACTTATTTATAAAAGAAAATAACAACTTTTAAGTATAATAAAATAAAAACAATAACCACACTTGGATGTAACAAATAACTGGTTATAAGTCAGATAGGCTGGTCAGAACAACAGGCTGGTTAATACTAACTGACTGATAATAGATTTTATTACCGGCAGAATTCTGGCGGTTATATGGTAGGTATATTACTATATTTTATACATAAAGTAAAATTTTCAAATTTTTGACAAAAATGAATTTAACTTACTATAATAGTAAATAGTATATAATAATGATTTTAAACCTTGAATTCAAATTCAACACATCCGTTGCAGGCGTCCAGCAAAGCGTTATCTTCTGGTATTCCCACCTTGTTTTGTGGATATAGGTATTAGCTATTTTTTTTTTTTTTGAGCATACATAGTTTATAGCAGAAAAATACTTCGATTTCCAACTTTGGACTTGACTATTGCGATACTGAATTGGATCTAGGTAGTTAGTACTTTAAATTCTAACAATAAATGGTTGTATTAAATGTTCAATACTTAGTTATTGAAATCAGCGTTTGGAAAATAAACGTCGTTTATGAACGCACGTCCACACGTTCACGTTCATACTTAGTGAACGAAACGATACAGGAACTTTAGCTGTTTTTTTTTCAAATTGAACATGAACGTAAATGACATTTATATTTGAATGAATTCGAACGATTTTTAAAACTCTCAATTTATTTACTATTTAATAAATATATGTTTAAAATATATTGGTTGATTATATTATATGATGAAATTTTCTTATTATAATTCCTATTACAAAAAAAATTTAAAAATTGAATACACGACCCAGTGAACGGTTCCGAACACTGTTTAAAATTGAAAATTGTATACATTTTTAATTACAAACTAATTTACAAATTTTTAAGATTTCGATGAATTTTGTCAAACAGTTACACTTCAAATACTAATACAATATATTGAGCGTATGTATTTTTAATATTTTTAAATAGTTTAAAAAAAATAATTATTTGCGATATTTTGTATTACAATTCAAATTTTTTGACCAAGCAATAACTTAAAATAAAAAGGAAAGAATGCATTAATTTAAAATTCTTAGGTGTGGTAGTGATAATATAAGCTACACAATATTTAAACAATTTTAACTTGGCACATCCTTCCACTTAAAAACGTATCAACTATATCGATTTTGTCACCATAAACCACCCTCAACGCTCAAGATATTAAGGATATTTATTGCTGATAAAATGTTATACAGACACAAAAAAGCAAATATAATTTATTATGAAACCAATTCATTCATAGCTCTACTCAACGAGGTCTAAAATAAAAGTTCTTGGCATCTCACTTTAAAAAATGTATTGTGCATACACAGAATACATTTAAGTCACACATCACAATGAATTAGAAGTAAAAAAATTTAAATCAAAGAAATGTATTGCTTAGTGTCTAGTTGCATGTCCAACTAACCGAATTCAAAATAATTTCCGTGGTTTGCGGTACATATATACATATTAAATAAATAAATGTTTGAGCAAAATTTTTTTATAAAGGCTAACAAAAAAATTAAAAAATAAATATTTAATATGTTATATTTTTAGGAATGACATGGCCAAACATACCAAAAACCCGCCCGGTAAACGTTTTACAATTTAAGATGCCTCCGGACATCCAACGGGAAGCGTCATTCACTACTATTCAAGTTTTGAAAGACGGCGTCAATTCAAGCTTACGGTCTCCAGCAGTATGGGATAAACTAGAATTGCTGAGACAGCAACGTGACATACGAGGTAAAAAAGGCAAGAGGAAACTACACGACGAAAAATGCCCAGATCTACCACTACACGACATACACAGAGAATTTATGAAAACTAAAACTGTGTCAATCAGGCGTCCAGTAGTAATAAAGATAGACGAATCGAAGCCTAGAGTAAAGATTCATAAACATGTTCCGTTATGCGATCTCGACACTATCCCACAAATAAACAAGTTAGAAACAACCAAACAAGAATCCTCCACTCCTAGAACAAAACTAGTTTTTTTCAAATAGGTAATAATTTGACATATTTAATTTTTTATATATATATTTGTGTACGTTTTTAACTGATTAAAAAAAATGTATTTCTACAATAAAATCACCATTAAATAAAGTAATTAACTATTAAGTACAAGAAGAACTTAGTTGTGTTTAAGCTAAGATAATTTCAAAACTCAGAAAATTGAAATTCTATATGTTGGATAAAATTGTTATAAAATAATAATAAATTACTGAAGTATTAAGGTGAGTAAATATATATGGATGCAAATATTATGTTTAAAAAATAAAAATAAGTTAATGCGTGACGTGTGAGAGATATAATAAGTATTATGTTGAAGTTCAAGTATTATAAATAAAATATTATAGGTATAATACAAAAAAAGTGTTACTTAAGATGAAAATACTAAAGAGCTTTATGTAAAGACAGTACCTACACCAATCGCCAATGTTATTTAATATCATTTAAATACAGATTTCTTTATACATTTTCGAGTTGTAAAATTCCCATGCTTAAAGTTAAATAGCTAAATGGTTTATTTGCTTAATGAGCTGTATGAACGTTTTAGATTCTGAGCGGAGAGATAAATGATTTTATTTTATTGTATTGTATTGATTTTACAATGGTGTGTATTTATTTTTATATCTGCGTTCACGATAAGTAGTCAAAATAATGCTTCAACTCAATATCTTTTCCGGAGCCGCATAGGCGGATATTGGGGGGGGCTTGGGGGGGCTTAAGCCCTCCCAGAACGTAATCAAGTCCCCTCAGAAGGTTCTAGTATCTCTACTTCAATTACAACAAACAATATTGATACAATCGTAGAAAATAATCAAAACATAAAAAAAAATATTGTTATGTAAGAATTTATTTTCAATTGTTCCCCTTAATTACCGCTGATAAGACACTGATAAGATTATTATTGTGGAGGTTCTCAAACTTGACCTAACCTAACCTTGAGGAAAGTGTTTTTTTTTGTAGATCATTATAAAGTAAGTATTGGTTTATCGTTTTTTTAAAAATAAATTTCTACTTACACTTTAGTTTTCTATTTTTAAAAGTAATCCTGTATTTTATATATTTTTTAGGATTTGATGTGCGTATCTAAAGATTTACTGAAGTCAGAAATGGCAGTGGCAAAGAATTGCATATTGCAGTCTTTAAATGAAGTAAAAAAGGTTTTAACAAAAAGTGTTTTCCCTAATTTATACAAATTATTTCAAGTTGCTATAACAATACCAATAAGTTCCTCAACTTGTGAAAGGAGTTTTTCAGCAATGCGTCGAATCAAAACTTCGAACTTCCATGTTGCAGGAGCGGTTCAACAACACATCAATATTGTATATTGAAAAAAACATAACTAAATATATTAATACCGATACTGTTATAGATATATTTGCAAAAAAAAATAGATTTATAACATTAAAATAAAAAACATATTTAATAGCTTTAAATATTTATTTATTTATGTTTGTAAAACCTATGTATATTTTGGGCCTCAGATAGAATAAAGTAGGAGAGCTACTAGCTTGCAGGTTGAAGTGTTTAATAATGTGTTGACGCTAATGGATATGGTAAAAATGTTAAGCCCCCTCACGGATATGACCAAATATCCGCCTATGTGACCGGAGGGAAAGTGAATCTTGTTGTTGCATTCGCAAGGGCAAAATTTAAAACTCCCAAAAGTTTTCAAAAGCGCCATGAAAAACAAACAACAAATTGTAGTACACGGTTCCAAGTTGTTGTTAGTGGAAATTAAAAAAAGTTGAGCTTAAATCAAAAACTCCTGGTAAACCTATTGTTACAAATTACAATACAATTTATTGTTGTAGGCATTTAAAGTTCGAGCAGGTGACCCCCACTGCATGCACTGTGGTGAGCCGGACGACACTGTGGAGCACACCTTGTTTAATTGCCCGTTCTGGGCAGAAGACAGACGGGAGATGGAGCAATGCATCGGCCGGCCACTACAACCTAATGATGTGCCGGATATCATCCTGGGACCGGAACAGGAGCTCCTCCCAGATGATGTATCCAGGAGGCGGCGTATCGAGGCGATGGCGGAGGGTCTGAGGTTGGCATTTGGCAGAATGGTGGAGGCGATTCTCGGGCGGAAGGAGGATGCAGAACGGGTTAGGCAGGCGCGTTTTTTTATTTGTGGGCCGAAGGCCGAATTCCTAGGGTGGTTAGAGGCCCCCATGTATGTATACTTTTTTGCTTGTTTGTGATGTTGTTTGGTGAATAAACGATACGGGTTCGGGTGGCAGTATTGTGCTAAACAGTTCCCACCCGTTCCCGGTTTCAGAAGGAAAANAATTTCGTTTGTATATTTCTTTGCTTTCTAAATAATATGAAAAAAAAAAAAAAAAAAAAAAAGGCATTTAAAGTTCAAATTTTGACAGTTATTAAATTTTAAACTATTTTCTAGTTACAAATGTATCAGATTTTCAACTTTTATAGCTAATAAAGATTTACTTAAATAGGTTATTCTGTAACCAAAAATCTAAAAAATATATAAGCACAGTTTTTTTATATAGTTATTTTTGTTCAAATTTAGACGAAATTACATATTAAATAACCAAGAATAATGATTTAAGTTATTTTGTTGTAACTTAAAAATATTTTTTGAAGGTAATTGAAACTTTTAGAGTACATTACTATATTTTATACACAAAATGACCGGCCGGAAAAAAAAATATTTTTCCTATTATTACAAACTTTTTTGAGAGTAATAGGTACATCAAATATATAAGATACTCCTACTGCCGTACAGTCTGGCATCTTGTTGCCTGTATGACTTTTGAAAGTTTATTAAATACTTTATTGCGATTATAACAGTGATTAAACCAAATACCCGAAATGTTAGTTATTGATTTCAATAAATGTGAAATGAAAAAAAATAATACTAGATTTAAGAATAAATTAAACTTATACCCATATAAGTTATATCTATTATATTCAATAATTTAGAGTTCGTTTAATACGATCTTTTTCTGCTCATCTTTCACATATTTTTTGTCATTTTAAGGCATAGTTTTCAAAAGTGAAAAGAATAACAGTGCTCGTACAATACAAAAATAGATACGTTAGACCTCATATTGTGTTAGGCTAATGACTACTCAGTAAGTAGTTAGAAGAAGGTAACTGTAATAAAATAACTTAGTATCAAAATCAACAATATGAACACACTTAATATATATATAGATATATGTGTGTGTCTATATTATTATTATTATTTGTGATATAACGTTTTTTAATATAAACGTCAAAATGCGTTATACATTCTAAGCTGCACTGAGATAGATAATATAATATGTATACATAATACATACATATGTATATACTATCAATTTCGGTGAGTTTAAGTTTGCGCCGAGATATAGGAGATAACAATAAAAAATGTCTTTTGAGTTAGTAATAAACAAGGTTATACATTTTTATAATAATCGTGGTACCCAGACCTAATAAACTAATAAAACTTATATCGTTTTACCCCATGCCATGCCGCATCGAATCTACAGGCACTGGTGCATATATTTTTATCAGACATTTTATCTCATTACAATAATGTAATTTATCGCCTGGATCATTACCAATGAATGATAATATGAATGAATCCTTTATTAATTTAATAATTAATTTATAATGCATTGTACAACATACAAACTTACCTATATTCTACACTGCATGTTCTTAAACTATATTATAGACGTATGGTTCTATCATGAACTTATCTTACTACTTATTGCCTATTGGTATATAATAGGTATCTTATTACTCAATAGTCGTGGTTGAAAACTGGTTGGTATCTATTTGAAATAAATGTATTATTTTACATTATATATCTAAGATTTAAAAATTTAACAATAGATAAATGTATATAAATACAGTAGACAGTAGTTATCCTTTCCTTTTATATATATAAAAGAACATGCCTTTTTTATGTACCAATTTTGTGACGACGCTTTTTAACTTTTTTCCAATTTTTTTTCACAAAGTTGTTCCAAATACCTTTGTGAGTGTCACCACGTCACCCGATTGTCGAAATTTTGATTTTAAAGGGTTGAAATCGGTCAAAATAAATTGTTTACGTCCAAATTGTTTTTCTATATATATATTTTACAGTTTGGGGACCTGTGGGTTTCCATAGCGACCTGCAAAAAAAACTTTTTGTTCGTCTAAATTTGTGTTTGATCGGCATGTAAATATAAATTGTACCGAGAAGTAAAATTCTACAATCTACCTATTATATCGCCCGATTTTCAAAATTTTGATTTTAAAGGGTTGAAATTGGTATAAATAATAAATAATAATAATAATAATAATTTGCACGTCATTCCGAAGGTTTCCGTCTACCTGGACTCTGACCTTTTTTGATTTTCCAGTTAAGTTTAGAAGAGTTCATGCAGTTTCCAATAAAAGTCGGTTTTGCAATAACAATAAACAAAGCTCAAGGTCAGACTTTAACTTATTGTGGTATAGATTTAGAAAATAACTGTTTCTCACACGGACAATTGTATGTGGCATTTTCTAGAGTTGGAAGACCTGACCATTTGTACATTTATGCACCACAAAATAAAACTCTAAAATATGTGGTATACCAAGAGTTTTGACTTAAGCCATATTAAAATTAAGCAACTACGTATCATTTATAAATATTCATAAAAAAAGTTATATATAATTATAGAAACATTTTTTAATAACAATATGTGTATAGAATCATTAGAATCATTAGTATCATTTGTAACTACTATTATTATTATTGTTGTTGTATTTATAATTCTTTAACAACAATTATAATAATAATAGTAGTTACAAAATATGATACTAATGATTCTATACACATATTGTTATTAAAAAATGTTTCTATAATTATAAATGCCTTTCTTTTATTAATCATAATGGAAAAATAATTTTTATACAAAAATATGTTTCATTTAATTTCTTAGACGATGGATCTTTTTTTTTGCCTTTTTACTTATAATTGTTTTCGATGTACAAAAATATTTTAACCCCTAATCGTAGCCGTTTTTCTGAAGACAGCTTATCAAAATACATGGTAGTCATTTTTTTTTTTAATACCAACTAGTTTATTTTGCATTAAATTAACTAGTATAACTCAAGTAAGTTAATATTTAAAATTGTATTTAACTAATTCTTAGGACAAACCTGGTTAAAAAAAGGTACCTAATCTAATTATACAAAATAGCATAAACTTAATGTAGTTTAGTATTCATTCTCATTTTTAATTTGTATTTTTCTCAAAATGTGTGCATTTGAAAGTGTTTAAAAAATGTTCACTATTTTATTTTATAGTATATTTATGAATTGCCTTTTGATATAAATTAAATGCCTTTTTCCGCCTTTTTTTACATTTTAAATGCTTTTTTTATTGATTATATTGCCTTCAAATCCGAACCCTGGTTATGACATATCTATTTATTCAAAAATCACTTAGTGTATATGATTATTGAGTAGTTATTTATAGTTTAATATTTATTAAAATATACTATATCATTTACAGAGAAACAAATGTTTGTTTGTAATAGACAAACACTACAACTAGTTAAGTGATTTTAAAAATTATTTCACCTATACAAAGTTAAAAACTGTAAAAGTAAAAAAATATAGGCCGTATATTAATTTTAAAAAAAATTTCAGTTCTTTATGAAAATAAAAAGAACACAGGTATTTGATATTTAGCTCAGGAAAAATAGTTTATTTTTGTATTATATAGTTACAGAAAATAAATTAGTTATTAATAATAATAACTTATTATGATAGAACATTATAATTTTAGACCTGTATTTCATATTTGGTCAAAATCATTAAAATTACTGTGTTAAAAATATTTAGTGGAGATTAAGATGGGACAAATTGACGATCATTAATTAACGGGAAACGGTTTATTTCAATAAATTATGAAGGTTGGGTATAATTTAAAACAATGTTGAATGTACTACAAAAACATCAATCATTACTCATTAGTTTTATAAGGATTCAGGAACCCGATACACCTAGCTTTTATATTAAAGTCATAATACATTTTTAACAAGTACCTACAAATAAATGCGCAATGTAAAAAACAAATAAAATCATAGTTAAACTTAATTCTTTTTTTTTGTTTTGAAAATCAGTAGGTACGCCGCGTATTTAGTATCGAATTTAACATACAGTTTGAATAATATAAGCAGTGGCGCTTTTTACGGTGAACAGAGTGCATGGGGACAAGCTATCTTCTACAATAATATATATAGGTAGGTAAACTCAAATGTAGGTCAGATCACGATTTAACTTTGAGAAGTTGTTGGGTACACCCCCGTGGAGGTTTTTGATGTATTACATCCTGACGTATTACAATCTGAACTGAGTTACACCAAAACTGAGATACACCAATACTGTA